ATGAAACTCTTCATATGAGATTACAATTGTTTAATGAGAGTATAAAAACATACAGACTGCGCTCCAGGCATAATCTCATATCAAGAATTGCATCATTCTGGACACTGGACACCCTTTCCTCCCCATTCAAATATTTTTATCCTAGCCTCTTCCTCACTTGGGGTTTTTTTTTACATTGCTTTTGTTTCTTTGGCTGTTTGTGAGTATATATTTGGTATGTCTTTCATCAACAAAAAGTTAACCATTAGGTAATGAAGTATCCTCTTGTTTTTGTTTTATCTGTTAATATTAGGACTGTCCTGTCAGAAGAAGGAAGCATTACTGGAGCATAACAGTTCTATGACAAGAACTTACTTATTGGGATGTCCTCTTATTATAGCCTTCTTGGTTCTCATTGACATCTTAGCGCTATGGTGTTGCTTGTATATGCCTGTGATAAGACCCTGTTAACCTTCATTCTCGCTTTTGGATTTTGATAAAAGGAAAGGATCCATCCCAACATTTTGTCACCTAAACCTAGACTGCTTTGGGTTTCTTGCAAAATGCCTTCTTGTCATCAGTAGATAATATTATACAGGGTGCAGTCACAGGGCCAGCTTTTACCCAATGCAAAACAGGAAGGGTCTGGATAGTATTATAACATGTCTTTTGGCCTGTGAGAAAATTAGTCTGATCATTTGGATCAAGGAGGGAATATGTTAAAATATAACATTTAAATGGACAGTAACAAATAACAATCAAATACTTAAAAAAAAAAAATTTACAAAGAACATTAAATAGTGTTAACTAAACTACCCCACACAACACACTGAAAATCACCCTCTAAATAAAGAAAAAAATCACCCAAGCTTTGGTTAAATTTTTGCAAGTGGCAAAATTGGTAAATTCATGGCAAGGTCAATTTTTGCCAAAAAAAAAAAAAACCTTAGCTCATCTTTAGTAGTATTTTATTGACAAAGTGATAGGTGTTAGAAATAGTGATGAAATATTATATTTTTCTATTTGTAACACTCCCAATCCTTCCAGATAAAGTTCAAGATTCTGGGCTTCTCTATGAGCCATCACCTCCTCTAACTGGAAGTACTGTACATATACTCAATCATATACTTTACCTCAATCACTTTCACAAATCTTGACTTGGCATTTACAATGTTAACCTCCACAACCCTCTAGCACATAGAGACACTGGACTTCAACACTGTTTGAAGTTCGCCAAAGCATACCTGTAGCTGGCCAGCTAAGACCAGTCCTAGGTTGTTAATATGGTTCACATATATGTGTATACCAAACCTGCCAATAACCTCAGTACAGTATATATGTGCATATGTTAAAGCCAAAAGCAGAATCATTGCTGTGATTTATGTCTTTGATTGTTATATGACATTTTTATATTAATTGTGTTAGCAGAAGCAGAAAAGGAAAATATGCCTTTAAGATTTAGTTAAAGGTGAGCCAATCACAGACAGCCTCACACTGAACAGAGCCTTAACCAATCCTAGCCAGTTTCACATTTGTGCCTGTGTAAAACTCCCTGCTAGGATTTTCTAGAGACGCATGCTCACCAGACAGAAGAGGAAACAGACAAAGTTCCAATCAGAAAAGCTTTATGGAGGCAGAGAAGGCCAAATAGGTATTCAATGCACTTGTGTGTTCCTCTATTGTTTAACAGTGCAGGTAGATCTGTGTGTAAAATCTGTTGTATGTGTTTACTTGTAGTTCCACCGAATTTACGAATCAAGTCACTGTAGAGTAATCTAACGAATTTATAAATCCAAGTGAATTTATCAATCTATCGAAATATACAGAACAAATTTATCGAATCTATTGAACCTATCGAGATAAGCTATCGAATTAAACCACTGTAATATGAAAGAAATAAGCTACTGTATGATAAATGAAACAAGCCATTGTAAGCAGTGTTATATGAAGAAGATTGAAGTTATTAAAGAAGTTAACTAAAGTATTCGGTGTGCTCTTTAAACCTACTGCATCCATAGAGCGGCATTGGAGGAATTACAGAGTAAAGTCAGTCTAATCAAACAAAGAAACAGCAATTGCATAATTTTTCTAATGCCACAGCGCACTAGGCACCAAAGGGTGCTGCGCCTGCACACCATTCCAGATTAGAGCTGAGTGGATTTCAAAAACCATTATTTGAAAACAGGATGCAATCTTCCACTCCAGGTACTGCTCTTCCAAAGGTCCCCCACTGAGGGAGCTGGCTCTCAGCAGTCTTTGGTCACTCTAAGTACTCCACACAATCGCCTTCAGTAGGAAAAAGGTAGCTGCTTACTATATAAAAGTATTCAGTTCAATTTGTTTAAACTCTACAAAATAAGACAGTTTTTCCTGGTACAGCACAAGTCCCTAGAAAGAGGACTCTGGGAATCAGGAGACCAACCTGAAGATATCTTAAAAAGTAAGTATAAATGGAAAAAAAACCCTTAAAAATACAGGGTGGGGGCTCATGGGAAAAGATGAGGTCCTCCAAGGGTGGGGGGCTTGGAGTTGGGCCTTAATACCATTCTTTCAAATGACTGTACATTTTCATATGCATTCTTAGCAGCTCATTGTTTTCTTCAAAATTGCTCTAAATGCACACATTCCGAAATAAAAAAAAAAACATGTATTATATTAAGCAAAAACTGAGCAGCAACCCTTGCAGGAAGTTAGTGAAATAATAGGTGGTTACCTTGAAGTTTCCTATCCATCTCTTTGAAGCAGAATGGGGTAATTAAGAATGGCCCAGTGGCAAGAAAACCAGGAAATGACTAACACTGTATGAAATGGAAGTGAAAGAATTGCTTCTGTAAATGAAATGGCATGCTTATTGACAGCAACCGAGCTTACTTTTTCATCCATTGTTGCAGCAGACAGTTTTGGGCCCTGACCTCTGCTCACAGCGAGTGTCCTTGAGATATGAAGTAATTTAGACGTTCCATTCCTAGTCTGCAGTAATTCAGTCAAGTTTGATTCGCTCCACACTCTTGGGCTCCTGGTAACATTTATCCTAGTTACAGCTGACAGTACTGTGGTTTCTTCATCTGTGCCCTGCATATCAAGGATCTCCAGTGATAGACTCAAAAAAAAAAAAGCATTGAGCTTATTGATTTGTAACTATATGAAAGAAAAGAAATTTTAGGTTACGTTACCAGCACATCATACACTGTATTTCACTCGTTGTGTATTTTTACTTTGCTTTCATTGACACAATGTAATGTGTCATAGTATGGCTGAAATTAGGTTATCTAGATCAACAGCTACTGGACTTGGCTTACCCTAAGATGCAGTAAAATCTTGAATAAAATAGTATTGACCTATCTAATGCCCGTCTGCCTAAGTCCTCATGTACACTTGACAGTTTTTACAGCTGCTGTTTTTGGCCTTTGACATTTTTTTCTACAGCTAGTAAACCCCCAGCATGTTATCTTGTGTGTTCATGCACACAGACCATAATCAACATTTTTTGATTGGAAAAAAAATCCAGGTCTAGTGGGTTTCTAGAGGAGTTTTCTAGCTGTAAAAACACTCTAACGCTGAAAAATGTGGCAAAACGCCATAAAACGCCACAAACCAGCTTTTTGGATGTTTTTCTGACCAAAAAAAAATTTTTTTGGTAAAAAAAAGGCAAATGCGGAAAAACGCCGCTAAACGCTAATGAAAAAATGCTAACGTTACCAGCGTTATCAAAACGTCCAGTGTGCATGAGGACTTAGGCACTTCTTCTTAAAGTGCAAGAGGGCAATTTTTTTTGTTTTGGTTAGAGTGGGGAACTGTTAGAACCTCTTTGTGGTTTTTATTGATGTTTTTGTGCCCGGGAAAAGACACCCTTTTTATTTGTCCTAGTGAACATTGTCACTGGGACTGTCACGATCAGGGGTCAGGCTCGAAGACCAGTTGCTATAGCAGTAGAAAGACTCACCTGAAACCAGCAGGATAGGTACACAGGCAGGTCACCGTGGCAGAAGAGTGGGATCAACCGAGGTGCGGAGTCTAAGTACCAACCGGTGTTCATCAGAGCTCCTGATGGTGGAGATGGATTTTGCTGCATGTTAGCACCAGGTCGCGTTCCTCAGGATCACCCCACCAGAAGGTGAGCAAGCGGAGGTCCAGTAGCTTATAAGCAGGTAAGGATCAAATGGAAGCAAGTCAGTAAACAAGCCAAGGTCGGTAATGAGCAGTCGCAGGTTGGGATCAGGCAGAAGTGTAGTCGAGAACGAGCCAAGTGTCAATAACGTGTGGTAGCAAATATGGATAATGACAAAGAAGACAAGGTACACAATACTGGCTGGAGAGCACAATAATCTGGCAAACAGGAAGTGCAGAGACATGGCTTATATCAGGAAGTTCATGGGAGGAGCAAGGGGTTCAAGGTTCATGACAAACAAGGTCAAGGTAGAATCATCCAAATAATTGTCAAGGGAGCTTTCCAGCATTCCAGGTGGCTCAGCAAGAAGAAACATTGCCATTCACCACAAAAGGCCCAGGTTCGGACCCAGGCTCTGAAAGTGAGGGCAAATGTAAAATTTTTAGTTTAGTAGTTAGCACCAGAACAGGAATACAGTATAAATATTTCATTGTGTTCTGGTAACAACTACTGTAATGAGGAGACTTATCTCAGTTTGGAGAGCTTTACTCTCACTTCCTGCTATGTTTACGAAAGAGGAAGTGAAGGGAAATCTCTTTAACCACTTGCCTACAGGGCACTTATACCCCCTTCCTGCCCAGGCCAATTTTCAGCTTTCAGCACTGTCATACTTTGAATGACAATTTCACGGTCATGCAACACTGTACCCATATGAAATTTTTAGCTTTTTTTTAGACAGATAGAGCTTTCTTTGGTAGTATTTAATAAATTCTGGGTTTTTTTATTTTTTGCTAAACAAACCAAAAACAACAGAAAATTTTGAAAAAAAAAGTTTTTTCTTAGTTTTTGCTACATAATTTTGTAAATAAGTAATTTTTCTCCTGCACTGATGTGCGCTAATGAGGCTGCAGTGATGGGCACTGATGAGGAAGCACTGGTAGGTAGCACCGATGGGCATTGACAGGCATCACTGATGGGCACTGAAAGGCAGCACTCATATGGCACTGATAGGTGGCACTGACTGGCACTAATAGGCAGCACTGACTTGCACTGATAGGAGGCACTGACTAGCGCTGTTAGGTGGCACAGATAGGTGGCACTGACAGGCACTGATAGGCAGCACTGATGCGCACTGATAGGTGGCACTGACAGGTGACACTGATAGGCAGCACTGATTGGCAGCACTGATAGGTGGCACTTACTGGCATTGATAGGTGGCACTGAAAGGCAGCTCAGATGGGCACTGATATGTGGCATTGATGTGCACTGGTAGGCACTGATATGTGGCGTTGATGTGGCACTGATAGGCACTGGCAGGTGGCATTGATGAGCACTGATGCTGGCATTGATGAGCACTGACAGCTGGCACTGCTGGGGCTACACTGACCATCAGGGCACACTGACCATCAGTGCCCTGATGATCAGTGTACATGTCCCCTCTGAGGAATGCCGATTGTTGATTACCTCGTTCCAACAAGTTTTGTGCATTGCATTTGCAGCCTTTTTGTTCTCCCAATGCACGTTAGCTCACCTAAACCAGACCTAACCAATTTTTGGAGTGGAGCACACCACAATCTACAGTAGTGCATTACCATTCTTCGTGGTACACTGCAGCGCATGTTCACTATTTTTAGTGTGTTGGGTGGCATTCAGAATCAATATTACCCCAGCACATTAATGTGTGTGGTACCTTGCATTGTAATTTGTAATGCAGACAGTATTGCAACACAAAAGTATAAAGTCGGTCTAAAGGAAACAGAGACTGCAGACCAAAGTTCTTACCTGCGTACTTGTTCGGGGTCAAAGTCTCCAAGTATTGAAGCATTGCAACCAGACAACTAGAATTTTCTGAAGAAACATTCTGCAATGGCATCCTCTGTTTCTCTTATGACAGGTTTCCATCCAAATGTCATCTTTTGTCTTCTTTGCCTATTTTTCTTAATTTTGTAAATGTGGTTTAGATTTGCAGTGTTATTTTTAAAGCTTCTATAAACAAGAAAAACATTTGCCAGCCAACTTGGGTAAAGTGGTTTAAATAAAATGATTTCATTTATCTTTACAACTTGAACACATGCCTGATCATTACAATTCTATTGTTTCCTGCTGCATAAATTAATAGTATAGCTGACAAAGCATAAATATATTTTGGAAATATTTTGCCAAAATGTCTCAATGAGTAATAAATGAAACTTCTGCCATTTTTCTTTACCAGCAACCGATTTATTTCAGTATGCCATCCTGCAATGTGTCAATTCATATTACATGAAGCTATTGAAATTGTAGTATAGACAGTAACATTTTGATTGAAAGTGTTTCTTGGAACAGAGGTAGCACAAAGGAACGCTGTGCATCTATTATCCCTGTAAACAGTGTCTGCGATGCTCACAGTATGAAGGATTAGAGAAGGCTCCAGTCTTTCAAGCACAAAAATGCTTGGCTGATATACAACTAGAAACTGAGCCACTGTAAGGACAACATAAGAGTTTGATGCAGTATCTTTAGGCTGAGGATTTTTTTTTTTCTTATAGACTAAATAGAAGACGATATAAAAATTAACAAAGAGCAAATGTATATAAACAGTTCATTTACACATTATCAGTTACTTATAAATGTTATCACTGACCAGCGAATATGTGGGACTGTGATTGATTGAAAGTATGTGCTTACTGATTTAAAATATTGACAGGCTTGATATGCCTCCAGCAGCTTGTTCTTCTGCCAAATGGCAGAACGTGGTTCCATGTTATACATAAACATACATGGACCAAAACATCTTAATGATCTCCCAAACTTCCCTCAGTTAAATATTGCACTTACAACACATCGATCTCTGGCCCTAGTCACTATGCTGACACCTGTTCCTTTCTATGCTAACACATAGCTGAAAGCAAGAATTCTTCTACCTATACCTTATCTTTGTTGGATATCAAAGACAACTAGCCTTGAATGCTCTTCTGTGCCCACCTTCCTCCTTTCTTCCCCCACCCCCTCCTCCGCCACTGCACTACTGGCTGCAAGCAGGATATGTGTCACCCCCATGCTTGCTACTGCTTCTTTTCCAACTCCCTCCAGGCAGTATTGGCTTTGAGCCAGTCATCGGAAATGAGATGATGCAGGGGTGCGCATGCACGGAATCTCCGGTCCGTGCATGTCCACCTGAGGCTCCGCTGCATAGTGGGAGAAGAAGCCTCTTGTCAGGGCAGGGCTGTGGGACGGACAGGTAGGCCTAGTGGCAGGGTAACGCACTGGCTGACGACAACCACCACCAACAGACCGAAGTCCCTCAGGGCGCGGAGTCTAAGTCCCAGGCTGCCCTTCACCAGGGCCCCTGATGGTGGGGATGGACTTGACGCAGCCAGGAACCAGGTCGCGGCCCCCGAGACACCCCGGATGCGGTAATGGCCGCCGCCAATTGGGTGTAGCTGGTGAGAATGACAATAGCGTAGTCAGGCAGGCTGGGTCAACAACAACGGGACAAAACGGTACAGAACAGTAGACAGAGAATCACAGGTCACGGGCCGGGTTCAGCAACGGAAGGTCAGATCGAAGGAAAACACAGAGAATGGTCTTAGTCACAAGCCGAGTCAGATACCAGAAGAGTCACGAGCGTATACACAGAGCTGTAGCAAGACAAAGACACAAGTGCAAAGAGCATGTGCGGATCACAGGCTTATATGTACTCAGCCACACCCCTCTGGGGGATGGACCTCAGAGACCTGAAGGCATAAAAGATTCCCACCATGCTCAGCAGAAATCCAAGATGGATGCCAGCACATGGAGTAACATAACCTCTAGGAAAAGGTAGGACCTTGACACCTCTCCTGAGCCGCTCCCTGTCTGCCCACGCTCCGCAAACCCCTCCGCTTCATAAGCGGTACCCCAGGGACCTGATAAGATGGTCCGGGGAACTGCAAAACATTAGCCCCAGGCAGGGGCGGACTGACAACTCATGGGGCCCCCACGCAATAGGGGATCATGGGGCCCCTGTGTCCTTGCCCAAACTCAAAAAAGCCTATGAAAAAAAGGTACCAGTGGCATCTCATGGGGCCCCTACTGACCCCGGGCCCTAGGGCAGTGCCCGAGTTTCCAAATGGTCAGTCCACCCCTGGCCCCAGGCTAAACCGATTAAGGAAGCCCTGGCTCGAGCCTCATCCAAAATGGCCGCCGGCTCCACAGCACAGACAAACTCTTTCTCATATGCAGCCCTGCAGCCAGACCCTGCACACAGCATTTTTGATGGTGAGTCAGACAATGACATGACGACACCTTGTTCACCCTCTACCCCTGACCCTGCACAACATGGCCTTCTCAAGCAATTCGAGAAGATGTTGCACAGAGCCCTTAAACAGACCTCTGACCATATAACGGGCAAACTATCTAAAGAAAATTTGTGATCTGGGGGGGGTCAGTACATATGAGCTAGAACATAGGATGGACAACCTGGATGCCGCTGTTCACACATACTCAGACAAATTTGAGGGAGGGAGGGAGTGAGTGAGGAATGGAGAGAAAGGGAGAGAGGGGGGGAGAGGGAGGGAGAGAGAGAGAGGGGAGGAGGGGGGAGAGGGGGGGGGGAGATAGAGAGAGGAGGGGAAAGGGGAGAGGGAGAGTAGGGGGGGAGAGGGAGAGAGAGGGGGGGGGGGGGGGGGGGGGGGAGAGAGAGAAAGAGGGAGATAGAGGGAGAGAGAGAGGGAGAGAGAGAGAGCAGGAGAGAGATATATGCAGCTTTATGACATTTCAGAATGGAGTAGTCTTCTGGTGCAGATCTGGATGGTAGCAGACAAGACTACAGGTAATAATAAAAATTATTGTCATGTGCCTAGGATTGAACTTGAGTCCTTCTGTCTTTTGGCTGCAGCACTGTTCACTTTGTCACTGGGGAGCCTGAGTCTTGCAGTGTACACCTTGCATTGTACCTCTGCTCCCAGAACTCCCTAGCCCCACCTGTCTTCCTGCTGCAATCAATCTGCAATCAGATCAGCTTAAAGGATAAGTTCACCTTTTAGATAAAAATAATAAATGCACATTTCCAGGTAAAAAAAAATGTGCATTTATTATTTTTGTCTACAGGAGCCTGGATAGCATTGCACCAGTGATCAGTACATCACTGATGCCATGCAGGTCTTCTGCGGACCTGCCAGAATATCTGCTTGGTGTATAGGAAGTACGAGCAAGGAGCTATTGTGACAAGAAGCTTCAATGAACTATCATGGCGCTCCATGGAACCATCATAGTTAATTGAAAACTACAAGCCTGCAGCAAGGCTGTTGGGTCTTGCAGTTCATTCATTCACAGAAATCCGTTAATGAATGATGCAGCCTTGTGGTTGGAGCTCGCATTACTGCACGGTTCAAATTTGACAGATAGTACAGGGAGACTACTATCTGTCAGGAGAGGGGGCAATGGGCGGCGGTTGTGGCTATGGGAACATGCTTCATGTTCAAACCGTTTTTTAGAACCTGTTTTAAAAATGGGTGGAACATATAACATGTTTACAAAGGTGAATATATCTTTTAAATTGCAGGACTTCCTATGGACTGTGCCTGTTTGTTGGATCTGTTTCCCTGGGTGTGCTATACTGCTTAGCTGCTGAACTTCTGGACGTTGATTTCCGCCTGATTCCTGGATTACTCTTTGCTTGACGATTTTACATTACTCTGTGTTTGACCCTGCCTATCTCCAACCACGCTTCTGGATTCTGACTTTGTACCTCACCATCAATATAACACATCATCAACCCCCAGCCAAAGCTCCACTTTTGACTACACCTTACAACAGGTACCTCATATGTCACTAGTGATGAGCCAAACACACATGAGTTCAGTTTTCGAACTTCCAATGCCGACTCTTTACCCCATTGAAGTCAAAAGAAGGTGAATTTTAGAAATAAGTAATGGACATTTTTCAGGCTAATAGGTAAGAGATTGTCAAACAAATGACACGGGAAGGGACACTGCACTAGGCAGTGATTTTAATAATGCTTAACCACTTGCCGCCTGGCCTATGGCCAGATGGAGGCTGGGCGAACACTTTGTCCCTCCAGGAGGACGCCATATGGCCACAGGGCCGCGCTGTGGCGCGGTCTGTCACCGGCCGTGTACCTCGGATACTGCCGATGACAGATCTGTGTACCAGCCCCATTGCCAGTACCATATGACCTGCTGTGACCAATCACAGCAGGTCACATGACAGTTGTGTACAATGTATGGCTTTCTTTCATGCCATCCATTGTATACAAGTGTGTCTAGCTGTGAATGGTCACAGCGATGACATCCACAGGCTGGGCCAATCACAGCCCATCTGTGTCATGTGATTAGCCGTGGTCAATCACAGCTAATCACAACAAAAAAAACCTGAATTAATCAATGTCATTCAGTTAAATGCTTGCTTATAGCAAAGAAATTCTTTGCTATAATCAAATTTTGTAAAAAAAAAAAAACATTGTACTACTTTGGTCATAATGAAATATGAAAAAAAAGAGTAAACATTTAATAAAAAATTAAAAAATAATAAAAAAATAGAAAAAAGTTAAAAAAAATTATTTTTTTTTTTGTACTGTCACCAGTCAGTGTCCCTGATCACCACCACACCAGTTATATGATGATGCTGTACTGCACTGGTGAGAGTATGTAAAAAAATGTGTGAAAATATTTTTTTGAATGTCTTCATTTTCCGAAAAATGACAAAAAAATTACAACTTCAAAAAAACTTGCCATGCCTCTTATGAAATACATCGGACTGTCTACTTTGCAAAAAGGGGTCATGTGGGAGCTATCCGTACTGTTCTGACATTTTTGGGCCGCAAGAAATTAGACTGGCTGTCAGTACTTCAGGATTGATCAATTTTCAGATCTATACCATAGTTTGTGAACTCTATAACTTTCCTACAGACTAAATAATAAATATTGATTTGGGTTATTTTCACCAAAGACATGTAGCAGAATACATCTTGGCCTAAATTTATGCAGAACAATTATTTATTTGCAAACTTTTATAACAGAAAAAGAAAAACGTGGTTATTTTTCAAAATGGTCGGTCTTTTTTTGTTAATTTAGCAATAAATAAAACCCCAGTGGTGATTAAATACCACCAAAAGAAAGCTCTAGTTGTATGAACAAAATGTAAAAAATTTAGTTTGGGTACAGTGATGCATGACCGCTCAATTGTCATTGAAAGTGTGAGAGCTCTGAAACCTGAAAATTGGCGTGCGCAGGAAGGGGGTAAAAGTGCCCGGTATTGAAGTGGTTAAAGTGAAACCTTAAAAATGCAAAATTACTTTAAGTAACATGTCTGGGGGATGGTCTTATGCTCTTAACCTGCCTGTGAACTGTCTGTAAAAATATACAACCTATTGCAAGAAAACGTATCCTAGAAGAGGGTCTAGTATAGGTGTTAATGGGAGATCCCAGGAAAAAAAAAAAAAAGGGTAGGATTGCCAAGGAGGACCCCATGCAAAAAAACAGCATGGAGTCCTCTCCAATTCTCATATCAGACCCTTCAGGGGTAATCACACCAAAAACAAAAAACAAAAACAAAAAAAAAAAAACAAAAGTATGTGCCTCCTATAAACCATACCAAACTCACATCAGAGCATACAGTCTGGCTGGCCAGGAAATGGAGGAATGAGCATGCCCCCTTTCTGAACTTTTCCAGGCCATATGCCATTGATATGGGGAGGATACATTTCAAGACGGGTCCCTCTGGCAGGACACCTTGTCCCCATGTTGATGAGGACAAGGGCCTCTCCCCCAAAACCTTGTCCCAATGGTTGTGGGGGATTTTGGAAGCCTCCATTAAACACGTGCCCTCCTGAGGATTTACCCCCCTTCCTGACCAGGCCTTTTTTTTCTATTCGGCACTGCACTGCATTTCAACTGGTAATTGCGTGGTCATGCAATGCTGTACCCAAATGAAATTTATGTCCTTTTTTCACACAAATAGAGCTTTCTTTTAGTGGCATTTGATCACCTTTTTATTTTTTGTGCTATCAACAAAAAAAGACCGAAAATTAAAAAAAAAAATTATATTTTTTTAATTTTGGCTATAAAAAATATATAGTAAACTCAATGTTAGTCATAAATTTAGGCCAAAATGTATTCTGCTACATATCTTTGGTAAAAAAATTCCAATAACTATATATTGATTGCTTTGTGTGAAAGGTATAACATCTATAAACTATGGTATAGATACTGCAATTTATGCCATTTTTTGCTATACAGTGCTGCACTAGTATAACTGACAATTGCTTGGTCAGAAAATGTTGTACATAAATTAAATTTATGTCCTTTTTCCACATAAATAGATCTTTCTTTTGGCAGTATTTGATCATGTGTGCATTTTAATTTTTTTCACTGTAAACAAAAAAAAACACCGAAAATTAAAAAAAAACAATATTTTCTCATTTCTGTCATAAAAAATATCCTAAAAACTCAAATGTATTCTGCTGCAAGTTTTGTAAAAACAAAATCCCAATAAGTGTATATTGATTGCTTTGTGTGAAAGGTATATAGCATCTACAAGCTCTGGTATAGACAATGGAATTTACACTTTTTGACTTCCTATCACATTTCTTGAGGTGCTAAAATACCAGGACAGTATAAACACTCCCAAATTACCCCTTTTCGGAAAGTAGATACCATAAGATATCTGCTGAGAGGCATGGTGAGTCCATGGAAGATTTATTTTTTTCCTCAAGTTTTTGGAAAATGACAGAAACATTTTTTTTTTACACACATTTGTCACTTAAATGATATATTGCTCACATAAGCCATGGGTATATGTGGAATTACACCCCAAAATACATTCTGCTACTTCTGCTGAGTATGGGGATACCACATGTGTGAGACGTTTTGGGAAACTAGCCACATACAAGAGCCTGAAATCCAATGACCAATTGAAAGCCTGAAGGTGCGTAACTTCCTCATTTCACTTCCTCACTACCTATCACAGTTTCGGAGGACCTGAAATCTGAAATGCCAGGATAGCGCCAAACCTCCCCCCCAAATGACCCCTTTTTGGAAAGCAGATAAGTAGAATAAAAAGAGGCATAGTGAGTATTTTGCAGATCTCATTTTTGCTCACAAGGTTTTGAAATATAAAAAAAGAAAAGAA